GACTGCTTAAGTGTTCTGAGTGCTGGCAGTCTCCCAGAGATAGAAATGGCTAACGCTATTCATTTTTCTACTTATGGCCGTGCTCTATTCCAAGCATATTATATATTTTAGCTCATCTCATCCTCACCTTAATGAGCCATCCCCACTCTACAGAGGGTGAAACTGGGCCACAGAGGGGTTCAGTAACTTGCCTGAAGTTACAGCTCTGCTAAGTGTTTGAAGTCAGAAATCAACCCTTGCAGTCTGGCCGCCTCTGGCTGTACCCTGAAGAGTCTGTTCTAGGCTAGCAGGAGAGTTGGGGCATGAGTTCTGGCCTAAGTTCTGGGCCAAAGGGTCTCAGCAGAGTTCCACAAGATTTGAGCATGAGATGGAGAGTTGAGAGGAGAAACTAGGATGTGATGATTTAACCAGACAATTCCAACCAGGGGTGGATTAGGGACTGAAGGAGCCTGAATCATGAAGGTTTGATGGGCCCTGGACTCACCCACTGGTGTCCAAAACTGGCCTGGAGGCAGACAATATTCAGTCGTGGCCCCCGTCACCAGCTCTCCTGTGTGGCAGCACTCAGCTTTGGCATGAGCCCCAGCAGTAAAAAAAAAAAACAGAAATAGCTGAGGGCACTATCCCAGGGGATGTCCCAGAGCCTGGGCTCACAGTGTGTTCAGAAGTGATGATGAATGAGGTAGGAGGGAGAGGAGGACTGAGTGGGGAGTCCGGGACCAAAATAGCTTGGGGGAGCTGTGGGTCACGATTCCCATGTTTCCACAGAGCTGTGGGAGGATGTTCTCTGGGACCAAAATAGCTGGGGACTGAGATAGGGCGATGGTAGGGGGGTTGGGGGGAGGCTGCCTGGAGTGATCGCCCCACCTGTTCAACCTTTGGAGCTGCATCTGCTCCCCTCTCTCCTATGCACTAGAAACAGAGGGGGCACTCTAGGCGCTAAGCTTCCACCACACCTGGGCTCCTCCTTTTTTGGAACCTCTTAGATTCCTGCTACCCTTCAGAAAAAGCTCAAATTCCCAACGAGTGGGAGAGGGATCCAAAGTCCCATCACCAAGGCCTCGTCAGGACAGATGAGGGACTCAAGTTCCAGAAGGGAAAGTGACTATCGGCAAACCAACAGTGAGAACACAAGTATACCACAGCTAGAAATCCATGTTCCCCGTTCCTCCACAGAACACACTTTGTACCACACCACACTCCAGGATACTTCCTCTTGGGGCTGAAGCACTTACCAGTGTAGGTAGGATTAGGCAATCCTCTTCCCTCTGTCTTTTTTGGTTTCTTCTCCTTTTTTCATGGGACTCTAAATACTATCCACAACTTTTAGACAAATCCCAACACAGAGAAACATAAGGGTGCCCTTGGGATATAACTTAACTTCAAGACTGGTCCTTTGACTTGCCAGAGAGTTTTGTCAGCCCCAGGCTTTCATCCTGCACTCCTGCAGGGCCCAACCACATGCCCTTGGAGTCTCCCCTGGTTGGTTCACACCAATTGCCCTCACTGTCTCCACACTCCCCAGCTTTGTATTGTCTCACCAAACCCAGACACACAGTAAACTTGGGAGTTCAGCATCTTCCAGTTCCAAAAGAAGAGCCTCTTGATGGTCAACTCCAGACACGGTCTTGTCCTGGGCAGGGTCTAGAGTACTTTGCATACAGCCTACAGGGACCCACCTCAACCTGAGGTTGGGGACAGATTGAATTCTTTTTCTGAACCTCGCTCCCCATTTCTAAGGATAATGATGCTCATCCATTTCCCCAAAGGGTCAATCTAAATCCACAATTTTATTCTTTGGCCCCAAAATCTACAGAATGAGTAAAAAGCGTTTTTACACCATATAATTTAGAAAAATCCTTCACATCTTCACATTGACTCTCCTAGACAATAAGTTAGACTATCTCTTTTTTATGTGTCCTCTTTCTTCATGAAAGCCAGAAAGGAAAAAAAACTTGTCCAAGATGAGAACTTAATTAATTTGAACAAAGGAATGGCAAACTGCTACCTACTCCTAAGGCAGAGTACAATGGAACCATTGACAGTCATCAAGCATTTGTACATGTGACCCTGGACTCTCAATGATGGAGAGAATGGTAAACTAATGAAGGAGAAGCCCCCTCTGACCTGTCCAAAAAGACCAAAATAGGGTAATAATAAAAGCACACATTACACAATACTTACTATATACCAAGAACATATCATTTATATGTTAATTCATAGACTCCTCATAACAACCAGACAAGGTAGATACTACTATTATCCTCATTTTACAGATGAAGAAGCCAAGACACAGAGGGGCTAAATGGCTTATCCTCAATCACACAACTTGGGAGAGATAGAGAGGGGATTTGAACCCAGGCCAATGGCTCCAGAGCCCACACTCTAAACCCTACACTTTGTGTATCTGGAAAAGCCACATAGGGTAGTAGAAAGACCCAATGCTTCAGAGTTGGACAGAATCATTTATTCACATACTCATTTAACAAAGATTCGCTGAGCACTTAAATGGACAGGACATGGTTCTGATGCTAACGATACTATGGGAAATGCTTATATTCAAGGTGGAGGAGACAGATAATAAAGAAGCTGTCAGACAGTGTTAAACATTATCGAGAAAAGTTAGGCAGAGTAGCTAAGACAGGAAATGCCTAGGAAAGATGACTTAGGGGATACTCTTTTACAGAGTTTCATAAGGGAAGTCCAGTAAGGTGATATTTGAGCAAAGTCTCAAAGGACATGAGGAACTGAGCTGTGCAGAGATGCAGAAGAGAACCATCATTACCAGGGGACAAATGCAAAGGCACCCCCTCCCTACCCAAGAGGGGACAAGCTCAGGTGTGGAATAATGACCAGGAAGTTTGAGTGGATGAAACAGAGTAAGCAAGGAGTAGAGTGGAAGCAATGGGGAGAAGTCTTTGCAGCCCCTGGTGAGGACCTTGGCTTTCAGTCTATGTGAAGATAAGAAGCAGAGAGTGACATGACAGGACTTCAGGTTTGAATGGACCATTCAGCCACTGTGATGAGATGGTTTAAAGGCAGAAGCATAGAGATCAGTTGGAAGGCTTATATAGGAGACAATGGTAGCCCACAAAAGCCCCAGTTCTATTATTAATAGTGGCTATTGGACTTCAGACAAGTTACTAAATTCTCCTAACAGTGATCGCCACTTCTATAAAAAATGGGTATAAAAATATTTGCCTTGAGAGCTATTGAGGGGACTAAAGAAGGTAAGTAAAAATTTTGGTACAAAAGAAACTAAACTGCTTTTGGGTAGGGTGGGTGCTCTCCATTCCATTCTGTCTCCCCAGGCTTTTCACCCTCCCTGGGTTCTGTGTTGCAGATTCTCAGCTGGCTGAGTGCCGGGGCCCCCCTGAGGTTGAGGGTGCCCCACTCTTCTCCCTCACTGAAGAGAGTTTCAAGGCTTGTCACCTGACCTTGACCCTGGATGATTACCTCTTCATTGCATTCGTGGGCTTCGTAGTTTCCATCGCATCTGTGGCCACCAACTTCCTCCTGGGCATCACAGCCAACTGCTGCCACCGTTGGAGCAAAGCCAGTGAAGAGGAAGAGATTTGATGTGGGTGCCTGGCATCCTCTCCATGCTGCTGACCACCACTGCCGTTCATACCGGACACTCTTCCTGGCTGCCCACTCTAGCCCCATGGTGCCCTGGCCACCTCTGTCATAGCTCAAGCAATGTCAGGAAACTACTTTTGAATAAGCTTCTACTGTGGGCCAGGCACTGTGCTAGGAACTGGCAGTGTTAGATGAAGCCACCTAGTTCCTGCCCTCAAGGCACTTCCCTCTGCTAGAGGAGAAAGAATCAGAAAATATTCCCTTTAAGACAATCTGTTGGCATTCTGAGCACATAGCTATGGAAGTCCATAGGAGGGGTTATCAACTGTGCTTCAAAAAGTTCAAGAGAAGAATAAGAGTAGAGGTGATTTGTGAGCTGGGTCATCAAAACTGTCTGCTTTGTCAAGTAGACCAAGAAGGGTGTACATACACAAATGATAGAGGCCAGAATACGTGTGGTACATTGAGGACCATGGTGAACAATCCCTGGAACCTCAGTGTACAGAAGGAAAGTGGCACAGGACCAAAACTTTCCCTCTGACACTCACCTGTCATTGCTCAGAGCTGCCGACCATTGCCTCCAGAGGGTGAGAGCTCTCCATCCATTGGAGAGCTCTCCAATGCCAAGCCCCTTGGCTGCCTCCTACCAGCAGTAACAGGTGAGACCACCTCCCAGTGACTGTCCCCCACACTAGATCACCAGTTGTAGCCTGCTGGCAAGGTCCCAGGTAGAAAGCTGAGGACACCTTCAGTGCCCTTTCTCCCACCTCTGTCTTCTGCCTCTCACTCCAGCTTTGGCTTCAGAAGAAAGAAGCAGGAGGCCCAGGAAAGAACAGCTTGAGTCCTGGCACTCAGACTCCTAATCTCGTAACTATTCTTGCCACAGTGCTCATGCCAAGGAATGTCACCAGGAAAGTGCACTGTGGGTTGCATCCCTGTAGCATGATAGTACAGGACTGAAGGAGGATTTGCTCTTTCTTCGAAACTACTCATTCACTTAAGCATAAAGGTGAGAGAGCTATTACCAAACACTTGCCAGTGTTGGACACTGTGATAAACGCTCTCCACAATTTCCTTTAATGCACATAACAATCTTCTGAGGTGAGCATTAAAGTTCCCATTTTACAGATGGGCAAGTAAAGCCCAGAGAGGTCAAGGTTATGTGATACTTATGAGCAAAGTAAGCCTGTGCTCTTTCAACTACCCCAGTCAAGTAAGAAAACATCACAATTCTCTTCAAAAGTATATAACTTCCCCAAAGTCAAGTAGTGCTGATGAAGCTCCTAATAAGAGCCAGCACTCCTCTGGGCACTATTACATCTATTGATTCATTTATATTAATTCTCGCAGCAACATTGCCTGGTGGCTTTTATTATTCCCATTTTACAGATGAATTCATTGCTGAAAACTGAATATCTTACCCAAGGTTATCCAGATAAACTCTAGAAGGAAGGTGTTAGGTAGCTCTAGTCAGGGAAACTGTGTCTAATCAGTCCGTCAAAAATCAAGTATCTTCATGTATAAAGCACAATTATCATCATTGTCGTCATCTTCATTATCAGTGTCATCAGCTTCATCATCATCTTCTCTACATTTGTTCAGCACTGGACAGTTCCTGAAGTGCTTTGGCATTATTCTTCCTAACTCCACAACCCTGTGTGGCAGGCAAGCCATCATTTCTCCTATTTTACAGATTTTAAAAAAAAATAGAGACTCAAGAGCGGATGTGACTTGCCTAAACGGCAAGGTGGAGACTCAACTCCAACTCGGCTCTCTTTCCAGTAGTGCCCCAGGTGCTTGGGAAGAGAATGCCTGGGAGGCTGGATAGTCGGGCCCTAGGACTTAGCAGCCATGAAACATCCTAGTAGATCAGCTATGTAAAGGACAGTAAAAATCTAGCTGCTGTACAGATTTAGATATGCTCATGGTAGCGAAAATCACAGCCTCTGACACTTAGAAGCAGCGCAGGCAACACCTGAATAAGAGTCACCTGTCTTGCAATGTACAAATAATGCATTAGAAATGGTAGCCATCTAAAAAATAAGACCTTTGGGAAACAGGAGAGAAAGCTGTGTTAACCCCTTCTATTTAATCCCTGCTGTGTTGTGTTGCAAGAGAGACAAAGGGTGTCAGAAAGTGTGGGTAAGAACCTCTGCATGATAGGAGAAGACTTTAAGGCACAGTCCAACATGTTGCCAATGCTGGCCAGGATATAAATTAAAACAGGGGCTTCCTACCTTGCCCCCAACTGTAGCAGGCTTGTATCATCCCATCTTCCTGGCAGGCTCAAAGGAATGAAAGAAAAACGTATCATCTTCCTCATGCTCCCTGAGCTAGTCAACCCAAAAGAGTACCCAGAACTTTGTTAGACCTGGGGTACTTGAACCTTGTGTGTCCTGAATCTCGCTTACAACATCTGGGCCAGAGCCCTGCTCTTGCGACATCTGGAGCAGAACTGTGCCCTATCTCTTCTTCCACTATGTCCAGGACGGGTGGATTGGGGCTGCCCTCCACTAGTCAATCTCACAGTCTAAGGTATTTGGAAAGGTTCTTATAGAAATAATAGTCCTGATACAAATAGTTAAGCTTCCCATAGAAGAACATCATATGCATCTATGATAATCTCCTAGACACTCTTGTTTGCTAAAATATAGTTAATATATTTTAAGATATGTACTTGGTTTTTTTTTGCATAGAACTAGAACCAAACAAGACACCAAATGACCCTTGAGATCAAATGTCCTTTCTAATGAGATTATTTAGTCCCTGTTAATGAGTAGGATACATGGATTTTAGAAGGTCCCCAGCTGCTAGAAGGTCCCCAGTTAACTAAAGCACAATGAGGAAACTTCCCTCACCTCCCACCACCAGTATCTTGTACAGACTATCAGAAGCAAGCTTCTAGAGGCACACTTCTAGAGGGAATCTAGAAGTACCAATTGAAACAGTTCCCATAGTTGCTGCTGACCAAGAACCCACGATGGTGATCCCACAAGGTGTCATTAAGTTTTTTCCAGATTAGTTAACATGTAAGTGTTGGAGTATCTCTGAATCTATGTGTCTGTTCATGAGGTTTCATGTATGTTAAGTGTCTACTGATATGAGGCCAAACTCTCTGGAACTTGACTTCAGTTCTCCAATAGTCTACTCAGCCATCTGTTTATTGCATTGCTTACTACACTAATATGGAATCCCATTAGGGTTTGAGTAGGGATAGCTACCTGTTTGGAAAATATAAAAACAGAGAGATGTGGTAGAGGCAGACTAATGAGATCCTGACTACTTCCCTTCGTTCTCCTCCATCCCTCAGAGATTATCCTAATCAAAGAAGCTTCCTCATGGGCTTGAGGATATCAAAGTTTAGTTAACCAACAGTGCTGTGATAGTCAAGTTCTGGGCCATTGTTCTTTAGAAAAGACCCCACATTTACACCACATCACTTTGGACCAGTTTCTTTTGATCACCCTCAGATTGCCTCCATTGTTTCCCCATTCTTGTAGAGATTCCCAGAGAACCCTGCAGAAATGGGTCCCCAGAGTTGCTATAGAGTCTGCTGGCTCCTTTTAAGGAGGTTGGTGTATGGAATTTGATCACAGACCAAAACAAGTATTTCTCTTCCACCATCAGGGAAGACTTACAATCCCTATAGATCTCTTTGTTGATACAGCTCTGGCATTTTTTCCAGCTCTAGAAAGGAAATATTTTTGTCCATTCTTCCCACAGCTAGAGAAACTTGTCTGCTCTCCCCACCCAAGAAGGAGGCAAAAGAGAAGTGAAAGAAGCAAGTTGCAAGGTCCTGTGTACATTACCATCATGTTTGTCACAGTGCTGGGTGGAGAGATCTAGAGCCACAGAGCTCTCAGTTTTTCTGAGTGCTGTCCTGAGGAATGCTGATGTCTGGGGTGGGAGGGTTAGGGAGGGATGGGGAAAGGGAAGATGCTAACCTTTGTATGGAGATGATTTTATAACCTTGCACTTTTGTAACTGTGAAGAATTTTTCATAAATGTGCATTAATAATAAAGAGTGTATAGTTTAACAAATTTTCTAAAAGAGTTGTGAAGAGGAGGGAGAGAGAGGGAGGCAGAGAAAGAGAGAGAAAAAGGAACTAAGCAGAATCAAGAGGATGTGTGCCAAAATATACACACAAAAGGTCTATGGGGAGGGAGTAGAAGGGAATAATTAGGAGATGTGCCAGCCATGGAGGGGCATGTGTGGGAGTAGAAGGAACACCACAGAAGCATATTTCTACCAGGCAAAAAGAATACGTGTGTGTCTGTATGCACACACCCCTATGTGTAGGCATATTTTGGTGCCTAAAATTATACAAAAAGAGCATATGTTTTATACATGTTGGTGTTTGCAGCTTGGGTCATCTACAAAACATGCCAAGGCAAGTGGGTGTGCCCGCCTAGCTAGCATCACTAAGGAATGTGGGCCAGGGCGATGGCCCACTTCAGTCATGTGGGCAAAGGACATTAGCTCAGGCATACAGGTAAACCATCTAAATGGATGGTGTGGGGGGTAGATGAGGCCATCACTGGTATAATTTCAATCTCTGTTCTCATAGGTTAGAAAAGAAGGGAAGGGAATCTAAACCTCCTGAGTCTTGCAAGTGCAGCCTATATACTATTGGAATTGAGATGGCAGTGTACCTTGGGAACAGAGACAGAAAAATGAGGAGCAAGTGTGCAGTGGCAGCCATTTTCTATTCCAGTACACTGAAGAGGAAGTGGCTCACTCTGGGTGGCTCAGTTGATTGGAGCATCCTCCTGTGCACCGAAAGGTTGCAGGTTTGATTCTGGTCAGGGCACATATCTATGTTGGGGCTTTGATCCCCAGCCGGAGCACCTATGGGACACAACCAATTGATGTTTCTCTCTCACATCAATGTTTCTCTCTCTTAGCTAAAATAAGTGGATAGTCTTGTTTCTCTCTCTCTTCTCTTCTCTCTCTCTCTCTCTCTCTCTCTCTCTCTCTCTCTCTCTCTCTTCTCTCTCTCCTCTCTCTCTCTCTCTCTTCCTTTCTCTCTCCCCAAAATCAATTTTAAAAAATGTGTGCCCAAAGTTGCACGGCTAGGAAGTAGTAAATCTGGGTTAAACACTCAATAATACTAACTGACTTCAGGGGACAAGAAAAATATGAGACAGTAAAGAAAATCCATTCTCAATCAGAAGTAAGCTTTTAGCCACAGAAGTCCTCTTTGATTACTTGGTGAAAAAAAAATGGAGGGTAATAGGTAAAACAAACACATATCCTGCATGTTTCATTGCATAAAGCTTTGAATACTGCATTGGTCAAGATGGGCTAATTGTGAAAACAAGTGATCCCAAAAATCTCAACAGAATAAAGGTTTGTTTAGTGGATTATTTAAAACTAGAGGCCTGGTGCACGAAATTTGTGCACGGGGGTGGTGGTGTCCCTCAGCCCAGCCTATACCCTCTTCAATCTGGGACCCCTTGAGGGATGTCCAACCACCCATTTAGGCCTGGTCCTAAACGGGCAGTCAGACATCCCTCTCACAATCCAGGACTGCTGGCTCCCAACTGCTCACCTGCCTGCCAGCCTGATCGACACCTAACTGCTCCCCTGCATGCCCAATTGCCCCTAACTGCCCTTCCCTGCTGCCCTGGTCACCCCCAGCTGTCCTCTCCTTCTGGCCCAGTCACCCCCAACTGCCCTCCCCTGCAGACCTGGTTCCCCCCCAACTGCCCTCCCCTGCAGACCTAGTTTCCCCCAACTGCCCTTCCCTGCCAGCCATCTTGTGGCGGCCATCTTTGACCACATGGGGGCGGCCATCTTGTGTGTTGGAGTAATGGTCAATTTGCATATTACTCTTTTATTAGATAAAAAACTAGAGGCCCATTGCAAGAAGAGATTCATACAATAGGCCTTCCCTTCCCCCTGGCTGCCGGCACCAGTTTTCTTCAAGCACCCAGGACCCAGGCCTTCACTGCTCCTGCCAGAGCCTTCAGTCTTCGCTCTGCCACCTCGAGCTTATGTATGCAAATTAATCACCATCTTTGTTGGGTTAATTTGCATACTCTCCTGATTGGCTGGTGAGTGTAGTGGAGGGATAGTCAATTTACATGTTTATTATTAGGTATGATAATAAAGGCTTATTTTGTGTTCATATCACATTTTAATGCATGTCAAGGTTATCAATCCAAGCCAGAATTCAGTCCCATGGCTCCATTTAACTTTAAGTGAGTAGATTATATGTACCTAGGAGGCAAAGGAAACAGGGTTTGGTAAACCCCACCAGTCTCTAACATCATCTGCTGTACTAGTCACCAAATACCTTTTCAATCTTCCTTCCATACTTATCCTGTAACCAACCACGTCCAGTTGAAGCTCACAATCCCTAATGATCCTTCATCAGGTTTCCTCCTTGAGGTCCAATGACCTATGAACTAAAAAATAAAGTTACCACCCATCCACTTACATATATACAGTATACAATGGTGACACAATGGCAGAGTAACAGCTAATTAAAACCCCTATTCAGAAAGGGGGAAACAAAAACACACAGCCGTCATGGTCCATAGCAATTCTGAAATCATGGTGCGAGAACATTATAAAGGCCTCAGATCAACCTCCTTTATTAGACCCTGATTCTGCTACTAGCAAGAGTTCTTTTTTAGTCATTCTCTGTCACCTCTGACTCTTCCCTCTTGAAGGAGATCTCTTTTCGGTTATCCACCATGACCAAATCTAAAGTGGGTTTGGGGGAGCATGCACTCTTTGAGGGTTGCCCATCTCCTTCCACCAGACTCCTGCTGGTGTAAGTATGCTGGCCTGACATTTGTTTTAGGTCTCAATGGTCAAAAGCTTTTTGAATCCAGGTTCACGTTTTCTTAGCAATTCACCTCCCTTAAAAACTTGGTAGAGTTTTATTTCATTTGCTTCAACTAAGTTCCATGTTTCAATGCACACACAAAGTTCTTTCTAAGAAGTGTTTTCCAGACTAGCTTGATTCCTTGCTTTCTCTTCCTTGGTGCCTTCTCTCTTAATGGCAACCATGAAATTATCTGAAACAATAGATAAGAAGGCCACTTTCTTATTCTTATTTGCTTCCACTTGGCTAAGTTACTTTAACTGAAAAATTTTAGTGGGTCTTGCTGCCCAAAGCCTTTTTGCAATTTTATCTCTAATCAGGTAGGTCTAGAAACAGTCAGTTTTTCCAATTTTATCTCTTATCATTTAGGTCTAGAAATAGTCAGCACTTGCAATTTTTTTACTGCTACAGAATTTTTACTTTCTCTTTCTTTTCATTTCTACTTTCAAACTGCTTTAAAATATTAGAAATATGGGTTACATCAATTTGAGATGAGACCAAAATGTTTGAAGCACACAAACAATAATGCAACATGAACTTCATGAAGAAGCTGAACCTCCTCATTGGAAATGGTAAGGAAACTGAGAAAAAATGCTAGCTATGGCATTCAGAATTCAGAATGTTTATCATAAATCCCTACTACCACTGAAGGAATGAATGGGAGATATTGCCCATGCAAAGTGGTTAAGAGGCTACCTGAGGAGAAAATGTTGGCTATTTTATGTCACTGATCATTCCCAGCCCACTCACTGGAGAACAGAGATCATAAGGACACTATGACAGAGCTATGAAAAACATAATATAATCAAGTGGGTTCCCCATCACCCCCAGCTTCACACATAACTCATGGAGTCATTCAGGAGCACACAGCATGAAGTTCTAGAAAATGCATAATAATGTGGCTGATTTTTGCAACTCTGAGGGTTCTCCTCCTATAGCTGAGCCAGTATTCAAAAAAGATCTCTATGTATGTAAGTTAAAAGGTGGGCAAGAGTGTAGGCTGAGACACCATGGAGGCATCTCTGTATTGATACCATTGAAAGATGTTCTAAGGGGTACCATTGTTGGCAGTGGAAAGGAAACAAACAGGATATATTTTAGAGCCAGAGCAAGTGGGACTTAGATATGGGGAGATAGAACAAAAAAGGACTCAAGGAAAATGCCTAATTTTTTTAAAAAACTTTATCTATAGCTATGCTCAGCAAGACCCAAGCAGCAGAAAGGCTGTCTTAATACTATAGAAAAAAAATACCATTAGACAGTCAACAATCAGTAAATCACAAAGCCCTGATGAGTAAGTTGGAAGGGTGAGGGAGGAAGCAGATAAACAAACTTATTCATAATGACAGGAAACAGCCAAAACCTAAGCTCCCAGAGACAAGGGTAGAAAAGTCTGAACAGACAGCATTGGTTTATATTATCTGTATCCTACTGAAGTGACCAGTGGATCTTAAACCGAGCAATGAAGCTCCAGGAATGGGAATCAAAGCCTAAAGAATCAGCAGCATTTTCAGAGCACAAATAGATTGGTCTCCACAGTGATGTATGTGCTAGACATAGAGCATCAACCTAAAGTGATTTCCTAGAAGGAAAGTGAAAGACTCCCTCAGCTGTAGACAAAGATGAAAATCCAGGAAACCAATTATATTTGAGATGGGCCCAAATATGTTTGAAATGGGAACATTACATAGAATCATATTTTTCAAAATGGAAATGAATAGCATGTGCTCATCTTAGCCAAGGAATGAAACACTGGTGACATTAGTAGCCTCTGTCAGCAAACCAAAAGATTTTGACAAGAACAGCCATCTCACTGATATTGTCCTGGGAGATGGCTATGATAGAGAACCGCAAAGCATAATGAAGGGTTGGGCTAGGGAGCATGGAACTTGTCTGGGTTCAAATCTCAGGACTGACACTTGCCAGCCATGTGACCGTGGGGTGATGATGTCATCTCTTTGTATCTGAATTTCTCTGACTGTGAATTTGAAAGGACAATGGTAGCCACTGCATAGGGTCTCTGAACAAATTTAATGAGAACAAATTTTACATATGTAAAGGGCTTAGGACGGTGCCTGGCACAGAATGATATTCAATTAGTGGTAGCAACTAGCTCCCCTATCTAAAGGGAAAGAACTAGAAGCTGAGAGATGACTAAGGAACTTACCTAACATCACACAGCTGAAATGTGGCACAGCAGGGTTTTAATTCACAACTGTTCTCCAGACCCCAGGTGCTGAATCCCTATCATATACCAATCCACCCCCACACTGAATCTGGACTGGCCCTGTGACTCAATTTAACCAAAGGAAGGCAGCAGAAGTGTGCCAGTTCCAGACCCAGGAGGGCCTGGCAGCCTCTGTGTTTGTGCTCTTGGGAGCCCTGAGCACCCATGAATTAAGTCAGATCCATGGAGACAAATGGAGAGTCCAGAAACCACGCAGAGAGAAAAGAGGCTCAGACATTTGTGCCAGCTGAGCCCAGCTTTCCAGCCATGCCCTCCAGGCACCAGGCACATTAGTGTATCTGTCTTGAGCATTCCAGCCCAGCCACCCTCTGACCACAGCCCCATGGGAGATCCCAAGCAAGAGCAATAAAAGAACTGTCTAGCTTAGCTATAGTGCTGAGGACTGTTAAATTAATTAAACAAAGAGGCCGTTAGACTGAGGTGGCTTTGATGCCTTAGTAGCCTACGTCAGCAAACCAAAGCCTAAGCCTGTAGCTGCGTCATGGTTAAGAAATCAAAACCTAAGGAAAACCAGTCACAAACAGCCAACTAGTCTTTTCCAAATAAACCAACAGCTTAATCTATAGCCAATCAAATAATTTTCTTGTTTTGCTTCTGTGCCTTATCTCCAAACTTTGCCCCTAGTTCCTGTCAGAAGAGGGCTCCTAACTACTTCTGGTTTCACACTGCCTGATGTGAATGAGTCAATGTTTGCTCATATAAACTCTTAAATTTAAATATGCCTCAGTTTCTCGTTTAACACAACTAATTTATTGTGTTAAGCCTCTATGTTGGGACTATTTGTTATGCAACAATACAAAATCAAAACACTAGTCTATGAGAAAAAGACTTTTGGGAAACAAATGTGTGTCAGCAACATAAGGCTGGAGCCCAGAGTGACCATCCCATCCCAGATGCACCACTCAAGTTCAAGTCCTGCCTTTGCTGCTTATTAACTAGATAAGTTATTCGGTATTTCCCTGATTCATTCCCTGCTCTGAATAATGGGGATACTACCTATCTCATAGTGTTTTACTAGTTATTTAGATATGTAATTCTTGTAAATGAGCTTAGAAAAATGCACATAGTAAAAAATCAACAAAAAGTTAGGTAGTGCAATTTTTTATTATTAAAAATAATATAATTTTTGTAGAGTGATTAAATTGGTCAACACAAGGAAAAGATGAAATCCCCAGTTCTACTTTCTTTGCTTTCCAAGAATAATGCCACAGGAACTTTATATAACTCTCCTTCATATTAGGAAATGCCAGTGCACGATATTGTAAAGATATGACTGTTTAAAGAGTTTGACAAAGACAACAAAAATTAATAAAGAGAAGATTACAGCCCATCTCCTCCTGATTTTGAAGAGGATTGGCATCCCAAGCTACTGCTGCACAATATCATTGTTACAGAGAAATGGATCATGGTGGTGTGGTTTTTCCCAACGGAGAAAAGTCATTCACAACACAGACATAAAGTATATGTGACTGCTCCCATGCAAATACTAGTAGTTTAAAATCTCATCCCACTTCACGTTCATGGAAGGATATTGAGCTTCCAGAAATAATGCATGAGCCAAAGGGAGCACAGAGTTGGACATGGAGCCTGCGACTTCCAGGGAGGTGAGCAGCTGCCCAGTCACTATTCTGACAAATAGATAAGGAAGGAGCAAAGGCTTCCTTAGAAATAAAGGTGGCTTCTAAATACTACTTTCAGCAAATGTTAAATCAATAATAAGGCCCCTATAAGGAGAACTAGACATTCCAATAGAAAACTGGCCTCAGGGCACAAGAGCAAGATGGAACCTGCAGAAGACCTCCCAGTTGGACAGAACAGAATCATCTCAGCAGAGATGAGGAGTCTCAGTGGGCCTTTGGGGAAGTGGATCCCTGATATGTGAGCCTGTAACTCATCCTGTATTGCCTCATCAAAGATGTTTCAATTGGGGATTGTGTTTGCCTTGTTTTGGTACAGACTCTCTCCTTGTGTCATTGGTGATACTGTATATGGATTTCTGGATGGCATGAACCTTTTTTCACTTATTAGTCTTGGGATTCTGCTGCCCAGAGTTGGGAAAACCAAGGATACGACCCACTCTCTGAATGCTCCTTAAAGAACTTATTTCTGTCTGAAAGTGCTATTAGTTACTCAAGGAGGCTGATAATTATGGAAGGCAGCCATAATGAAGATAAAGAAACCTTGAGCTGGAATTCAAGAGACTTATTCACTCAATGAACACTTACCAAGGCTCTGGTGCAGATAAGGCAAAGTAGGTGCACGATAGAATTACTAAGACCAAAGAGACCAGGATCCCTACTTCAAGTTCTACCCACAGAGCCCAGCAC